GCTCTGTGCTCCTGTGAGATTTCTGCCTTTGAACTTCCATCTTTTCCACTATGTTCTAAGCACAGGATTTTGTTACTTCGTTCAAGGGAAAGGATATTGTTACTATCCTCAGGTTACTGCAGAAACCACTTAAAGCTCTAATAGTCATATTTAGTCTCATTTGTTGATTGCTAGAACTATCTAGCAACTATCTCTGGAATTGAGATTAAACTGTATAGATATAGCAGTAATTTAGTATGTATTAATAAAACAAAAATTCTGCCATGAATTCGGCTTAAGGTCAGGATTGAAATTTGTGATACAGAATAGGTCTCTCTTAATCTTAACTGTCACCATGTATTAGTCATATTTTCCAAACACACTCTATCACCACAAATCACAGGAACTCTGTGCATAAGTTTCTTCTAGGGAGTTAAGCTTTCAAAGAAGTTTAATTATCTATTTACAGCCCTAGTCTAGAATATAAACACATATACACATCACATATACCCAAATACTTGCCAGCAGAACATGCTGAATGTATGTTAGAAATGCAAAACTCCCTCTAACAAATGTGCTAAGTCACCTAAAAATTAGTACCTTGTAAAAATTAATTTGACATAGAATTATAAAATATAACAAAATGACTCATGTTTAATGTTTAAAATTATTTTATATGCACTGTAACCTTATGTCTAATTATTCCACACTTAAAACACTATTGAAATCATTTTGATGCCACTGCTACTGCTTAAGCAGCACTCTGGGTGCGGCCTGCGTGTGCACACCTGCACACAAAGCACACACTCGGAGGCACACCCCATCTTACACCTGCTCTGAAGCAGTAGGAAGTGAATTCTCAATCTGTCAACATGACCATCTGGTCTATCTGCACATCATGGCTTTCTCTACTACTATATGAAGGAATGACAGTCGTCGCAAAGCCAAAATAAAACGAACATGCACCTGAATGGGAATAGCTCCTCTTTTGGCTGAAATGGAAACACGTGAGTCACCAGGGGCAAGCCAGCAGAGTTTCGCGAGCATTCCTGAAAGCATGGCCGGAGGAAGAGTTTGGTACGGGCTGTGTGATGTGGTGATGAGCAGTGCTGCCCTACAGGTCGCAGGATGGGTACCTGGCTGTTGGGATGCTGAAATGCCTCTCCCTGCGAGGGCGGAAACAGACCAACCTGCAGCCGCTGCGCTGCTTCCCACCTTCCACTGCTACTTACACCGCCATCAGTCCCTTTGTCGCTGGCTAATTAGCAGTTGCAGCAATTTGCTGACAATTTTGGTCACTTAAGCTTTTCCAGGTGGATTTTTAAGACAACTAAAAATACTTGCAATCTTAGAAAAGCCCTCACCTTTAAAGAGCGACAATGGCTCAGTGTGCTTCAGCTTTGAGCCCGTTGCCACCTACAAATTAGCAAGGGCCTCCGCTGAATTAAACATAATTCCGCTTGTTTAATTTTAGATTTCAAGTGTCACCACATGTAAAGACTATCTCAGAGCTGTTGCTCTGCTCTCACATCAGGTAGCATAAGACATAAACAATGACTATCATTTTATGTCATAAATAAAGCGATCTACCCCTGTCCAAGAAAGAAGTCCTTTTAAAAGTCCAAACTCCAAGCAAAATTTAACTAACTTAACAGAACCCCTAGAATCTGATTACATTTCCAGAGTTTTACAGGAGCAGTTTCAAAAGAAAGAAAGAAAGAAGGAAAGAAAGAAAGAAAGAAAGAAAGAAAGAAGAAAAGAGGGAAAGAAAGAAAGAAAAAAAACTCTCCAGAAAGTTCTCGGTTGAGTGCCTACTAATGAACAAAGGTTAACTTTATCTAAAAGGTCAAATGCCTGGTGGCTAAGGTTATGACCTTAACAACTTAAATTGTGACCTTGCCACGTGCCGGGTATATTGTAGATTCTGATACAGATCATCTGGTAAAGGCTGGTCATAAATTAGCTTTACTGTTACACGCCCACAAAGAAAACCATTTGCCATGATACCATAATACCACCGAGTCGTTACATGATACGTGGAAAGACAACACAAACAGAGACCAAATTAAAGACATAAAATGGCTTTGTTGTTTCATGGACTGAACAGGATGAAAGTTTCAGGCTTATGGAGTCACTTGACTTCACTTTTCTTCTTACTGTTTATCTGCACAAAACTCACAAGAGTCTGGTACCACCAGATTCAGGGATGTAGTCAAAGGATTGCCTTTTATCACCTCTAAGCCTTAAGGGAAAAAAAAATCACCTCTGCTTCTAACAAATATTTGATTATACATTTGCTTCCAGTATTCACATTTTAATGTTTGGCCAAAAAAGCAGCCACTGCATGAAGTAACAATCAATGTACATATTTCGAAAGGCTACGTAGAGGAAAGGAAGCATTCTGGAAGGAAAAAGAATACATTTTTTTTTTCAAAGAAATGAAAATAAAAATGCACTACAGGTGCACAGGCCACAATGGTTTTGGCTTGGGTTGGAAAGCATGCTTCAGAGTCTCTGCTTCTTGCCAATGCTGGCAAGTTCTCAAAACTTTTAAGGAGGTTAAAAACATTGTTCAGTGTTTACAAATCTTCAGCATTATAACAGATGCTTGTCAAATCAGCTGGACACAGGTTGACCAACCTACCTCACATTGGCATCAGCAACCTCTCTTCTACAAATAAGAGGTCTCAAAATATCTTAAGTCAAATTTGAGATGTTTTCTGATAAAAGCCCTTTACTATTTTCTTTTTGCAAGCTCCCTGTTGTGGGTACACACAGACAGCCATTACTGTAGTGCTCTAGACACCAATGGCCAGGCATTTGGCTGGTATTCAGGCCTGAGGAGGAATTCTGGGATACGTGAGGAATACCAAACCGAAGGTAGTCTGATCCATGTGGCTGTCAATCAATCTTTCATAAGCTGTAAGAACGTGAACCTTCCCAAGCAACCTCCCAAATGTTACAGCAGCACCATTCCTTCAGACACTGGACCAGCCAAACAACTGTGCTAGCTTAAGGACAGGAAGTAACTGCACAACAAAAAAACCACCAACAGTGAAAGGTGAACCAAGGAACAAGAAGAGCCACACAGCTAAATGTCCTTAAAGGTAATTTTCCCGAGGTCCTCAGAGAAATGCTTAACTTAAGAGCCCAGAATGGGTCTTGCTCAAACTGCAGAGACTCCACAGACATCGCAATTTTGGTTCTTTCTCATAGGAAGCACGCTCTGATGCTGTGTTAATTGTTGGCACACTCAAGTCTCCAAGTTTCCCGATTAGAACATTCACTATCGTTAATAAATTCTTTTCCTAACTATCTAAAGGTAACACTCGATGTAAAGAGTATGCTAAGAAAGCACTGAGAATGCCTGTTAACTGTTTTTTCACCCTCAAGCACTTAACACATACAAAGAAGAAGAAGAAGAAGAAGAAGAAGAAGAAGAAGAAGAAGAAGAAGAAGAAGAAGAAGAAGAAGAAGAAAACAAAAACCTTTAACATTGCTTTTACTATAGACAAGAAAAATGGGCAGCAAGGTTAAGGAGGGTTAAGGAAAGGCCACTTATTCCTGTTTAGGATTTATCCCGCCTAGAACTGGCTAAAGCAACAGGCATGCCTTATAATTGAGTATACATTTTCAAAAGCCCAAATATTTGAAACGTTTTCAGAGCACATCCTGTGAAACACACATGGATTCCCTGCCAACACAACACAAACGAGGATGTGACACGCTTGCAAAGTCAGTTTCTCCAGTGTCTTAAGTAAGGACAGATGAGTAACAAAAGTTCTCTTTCTAAATCATATATATATAAAATAATAGAGCAGAATGTTAGCTCATTTATTTGAAAGTTAAAATTGTTCAGATTTTAAAAATCTTTTGCAAACTACTGCTGACTTTGTAGGTAGTAATCTTTTCATTGTGTGTGTGTATGTTTGAAAGAGAGACAGGGAGAAAGAGGGAAAACGAGAGTCAGAGACAGACAGACAGACAGACAGACAGGCAGAGACAGAAACAGAGAGACAAAGGGCGCTTCCAAACAAGTCACTGGTAGGATTCCACAACTTTCCTTCTCCCATCTGGCTTAGGCAACTGCTGTGAAGGCAATCTAGCAAGGCTGATACGTACATATAAAAAGTCAACAAGTTACACAAGACCTGAGCTTTCATGTAACACAATGAGCCTTTGTCTAAAACAAGACGAAAAGAACACAGTAAAGCTGCATTATTTCACCCAGTCCTCAACAGTTGATTCCTGAGTGCTCTTGGAAATTCTCAAGCACGCTCCGGAAAGACATGTCTCAAAATCAATAGTGAATCTCGTACAAATCAAAATAGGTCGATGAATCAATTACCAATAGCGATTTCTCAATGCATTCAGACAGGCTATGTGAGCTGGTCACATTTACTATTAACCCCTCTGTCACCTGCTTAGAATTTAGTTGATTGGTTTCCCTTGGCCATTTGAAATGGCACCGAGAATTCCCACATGCAAAGCTGCTAAGCTTGTATATTAATGTGATTATCTGTCTTTCATAAGTGACCGGCATTTTGATAGTAACCTTACCTCCAACTTCTTAACTGGCAGGGGGTGCAAGAGGTATCTGAGGGCTAGAAACCGGCCCAACAGAAAAGCAGCCAGAAACAAACTAAATGTATTTTAACAAGATCACAACCGAGTTTTATTACGAGGGTCGTCAGGAGACTTCTCTGGCCATGAGTCAGAAATAACATGACTACAACTCCTCACCCATTGAACTAGCAAGACCTCTGACAGCATTACTTACCATACGTGACCTGAGTGGGAATTAATTCTCTGAGAGCTTTGCTTTTATGCCTCAATGAGGGTGGCACCTCAGACAGGGGCGGCAGGTTGTTCAACTGTTTTGGCTCTGGTTTACCTCTGAAACCTCACTGGCCCGATGCCCTAGGTTTCTGCTATGGGGAGGTCGGGAATGGTGCAGCGTTCACAGAGGCCCGCAGAAGAGACATACACAAGAGAGCGGAAGTTCTTCCCGTTGTACTTACCTGCTGCGTGCACAAAGTATGCCAAATATAAATCGAGTTCCTTAACGGAAACCCCTATGTGGTGGGGCTGGACACAGAGCCCTGGATTGGAGCACTGCGGGGACTTGACAAGGCGCTCGCCATCAGTACTTTCCAGCGGAATACCTTTGAACAAGATCACCATGACCAGGTCCAACCTCCATACTTTATCTGCCTGGCGGAGGCAGTCAATTCTCCGCATCTTGCCTTTCTGGTCTGGGTTGGAAAGAACACAGCACGGAGGTTTTTTCCCTGTCACTGTAAGAACAAAATCCTCTCGGTACTCGGGTCGGATATCTTTCCGTAACTTGGCCAGAAGTCTGGAAGCCCATTTCTGCTTGACCTCCGGCTTCTCACTTAGCAGTTCATCCTTCACGGCCCTCTCCTCTTCTTTCGACATGCGCTTCTCATGCTTTTTGAAGTATTTTCGCTTTCGGGCCTGCAGGTTGAACCATGTATAGGCAAAGGCGCGGACGTGGGGCAGAAGTGCTTCGATGAAAGGATGAAACTCATCCTAGAGAAGGGAAATGAAAACAAAAATATGAATGCGACCAACACAAAAGGAGGCAACTTTGCCTCTGGGAGCTGCCCTAAAGAAATCCCTCATTTCACATGAAATGTGGTCCAAGTATTCCATTCCTTTAAAAATCATAATAAAATCCCTAAGAGCAATCAAGGGGAATGGGGATACACCTCAGTACCATTGCTTACGATCTGAAAGGAAAAGATTGCTAAGAATTTTTAAACATTTTGGCACATTCTATCATGCGGCCTACTTCCCCAAATCCTTCGCATAGCAAGTGCAGTTCATCTAAATGCTTATAACACTCTATGCCCTTACCTCTATTTCAAGGAGGCCATATCTAATTTTGTCCCAGCCTTGCTCACCACTTGTAGTGCAGCCAGGGCCTGGCCTCCAGATTGGCAAATACTGAACACTCAGGTGCCAGTCAATGTTTATGGAAGTCTAGGAGCGGGACCCATCTCTACCGTCAATGAAGACAAAGGCTCTCTCTCTCTCTCCGAAGGGTCTGTGTAGACTCCGAGCTGCCTCTCATGTCTTTTGGTAATATCTTAATTAACTTCTAATATTATAGTTACAGATAATTTACCAAAAAAAAAAATTTTTTTTTAATTAGAAGAAGGAAAAAAAAAAAAAAAAAGAACTGTCAAGTCTTTACGGAAAAGAAGGGAAGATTTGGTATTCAATCGGTTAAAATAAAAGATCTATGGCCAAGAAATCATTATTGAACTATGGGAAGAGAACAAAAAGGGGGGGGGGCATGCCAAACAAAGCAAAGCCCCATGCCGGAGAGTAAGCAGCTCGCCGTGACAGCACTCTTGCAACTAAACACATTTAGTGTGCTGATAGGACTATGGAACGCCCTCAAAAGTAATCAGCCCCACAGAACATGTTGTCTCGTTTTTTAAAATAGTGTTTCAGCCTTTTCCCATCAGCAAACAGGAGACTCGGGGAAAACCTTCACTGATCTCTCTAAAAGTCAGATAATTGAAGAGAAAATTGAATTTAAAGCATTTGGATTTTGCTACCTGCTTTACTTAAAAATATGTGACTCTTATATGTTTTGATGTTGGTTAGGAAATTTAAATACAAAAATTAAAAAGAGTTAAGGAGTAACGTTCAAAAATGCTCAGAGAGAACAGCCAACTCCTGACTAAACTAGACCACACCAATTCTATATAACGGCTTTCTGCCACAAATGCCTCTCAAGATAAATTATTTACTTTCAAATAAATGAAGATAAGAAAACTAGAGGGACACTTGGTGACTTCTTAAGAAGAGTTCGAGGGAACAAATATAAGATATATTCTTTTGTATGTCTGTTACAGCAATCTAAATATATACATCCCTGAAGTACAAAACACTGTAATACCGAAAACAAAATTACTACTAAAAATTGTTAAAAATTTAAACATTCAAATGTAAACTGAAAGTAATATATTTTAATAGTCAAATCTGTTGAATTGTTTTTACAAATTTTAATCAATCATGTAAATATTAGATATAGCAAAGTAAGTAAGTGTATAATAACAAAATGTATATTTAATTGTTATAATAATTGGCCTTTTTCCTCTTTCTACACAAATTTTAGGCTTCATGGCTCAAGTTCAGTTTTGAAACTTACTCTTTTTCAAAAAAGGAATCAAAAAAGAAGTAGTGAGCTTTGGTTAACATGTATGCATTCTTCAAGTGGGGGGAAAAGAATAAAATACAAGAATTATATTATTCTTTACCATAAACCATTAGCATTTTAAAACTGTGTGATGTTTGAGAATCCTTATTCCTTTGGGGGGGAAACAGAGGGGGCAAGTCACAGTTTATCCGCTAAGGTACACGCCAAACCACAAAGCCTTTAAACATTGCTAAATTCTGAGCTCATCCTTGAAATGCTCCGAAATACATGCATTTCATGTAGTTCACATTGACTGACATCCAGAGGTAGACAGGGTATGCCAGAGACCAGGTTCTGGGGCATTGTGGAAAGAACCCTGAAGTTGACCTTAAACTACACAGTGAGCCTTCTCCAAAAGGAGACTTCCATTTTAAAGACTCAGCTCCATCTCACAATGCGAACAGCTCCAAATATACCATAGCTGTGCTAAGGCGTTGCCTAACTAGTGACAATAAACATGTTAAATAAACATTCTAGTGTGGTTATGCTGTACATCCAAAGATACTCCCCAAATACTTCTTAAAAACTCAGTTCATGCTCGAAATCATTGCATTCACCTGCCAACCAAATGCCCATAATACCTTCTCATAAAAAAATAAATAAATAAATTGACAATAAGGTCAACTGGTCATCATGGACAATCTCTGTCCCCAGTTTTACGTCAGAGGTATTTATAATATATAACTCCCCAAAGGTTTCTAGAATGTGAATAAAAGTACATAATATTTTATATAACTTTACTCACGTGACAATTACACTTAGTCAATTTATTGATAGAAATATGCCCCCAAAGCATCCAAACTTTAAAAAAGAAAAAAAAAAATTACAGGAGATGTCCAAGAAAAGCATAAATGTTTCTGGTCGGGGGGGGGGGGTAATGTGTGTGTATGTCCTCATAAGATATGTTGCTGAACTTTGTAATATTTCAAAAAATATTCCAGAGAAAACAAGTAATATTTTACATACGTAGTTGGTGAGAATGTTACAGCCCACCAATAAAAATAAACCTGAGGACCTGCATCGAAGCCACGTTACTTTGAATCAGCATCTAAACTGTGGCTCTGTCTGAAAGCAGGCCAAATTTAAGAGCCACAGAATAGTGGCAGTACTGGAAACTCCTTCCCTCCCCCCCCCCAAAAAAAAAAGGTTTACTCATAAATTTCTGCTGAACTGTCAGTATTTCGGCAGGTACATGAGTTGGTTGTGATATGGCCATCCTCAATCAGAAGAGGCCCAGCATTCTCAGGGTAAAGCCCTGCAAAGTACACACCAGCCAACTGAGCTTACTCTTTCAGTTAGAGTCCATTTATCACCATGCTTACTGGATCTTTTTATTTTTTAAATGAGCAATAAACGACCCAAGTTTTTCTTTCTGAAACCGGCTCTAACGTATTATAAATATTCCAGAAAGTTAAATAAATTGTAAATCAACTTTTAAAGACCGTCTCATAAAACAAACGAGCCCTTATTCCCTGTTTATTGTACATTTTTTTTTTCACAAACTGCTACAGCAAATAAGCGTTTCTCTTAGTGATGTGAAGGCCTAGTGAATGCATCAATCAATGTTGCCAAGTCTGTAGGAGGGGAAAGGGGAAGGAAAAAAAAAACTTTCTTAATGTGATAATAACTCAAGAGAAGCCAACTTTCTTAAATACCTGACTGCGCCTGGGGCCTACATGGGCACACAGGTATGCTCCTGAAATACACAACCCCAGACCAGAACTTTTATCTTTCCAAATCTCACTCGGGAAGACACCGCTGTGTCCACAAGGGTCTTTCTCACTATTGCAGCATGCTGCTATTATCTACAAGTTCTATGTGTTGCAAACTTTTGCCAGCTAGAATTTCAGCCCTCGAATCTCAGCACTTTCACTGCAGACCATAATTCATTCAAATTATCTTACACTTTGCATCTTATCCATATGCAGTGGTGAACCTTGCCAGAAGTAACTGGAGAAGTTTCATTCCATACTTCCACGAGTTACTAAAATAGTAACTTTGGAAGTTGCGCGCGGGGAGCGGGGGGGGGGTGCTTTTACAATAACTAAAACAACTGCTATCCATTATTAATGTGAGGCCTAAATCCCAAACAGACCATCTCCACATAAAAGATGCATTTAAGAGTCTTCGGAGATCAAATAGCCAGTGTTAATACTGTTAGATACTGCAGTAAGAAGCGGAGTCATGTGGGAAATAAATCCAGAATCTAGAGGGGAGAGGAAAAGCTACCGATACTTTCAGCCTTCCAAAATATTCCGGGTAAACCGTTAGCTCCTGCTCATTGAAGGCACAGTGGTAGCAGGGTTTTGAGGGGTCTAAAGCTGATGCTCCGACAGTATAACTTCATGTAGGTAGTTACTGGTCGGGGTGCAATGTTTTAAAGCCATATAAAGACTCGGTGCTCACAGAGGGGAAAAAAAAGAGCGCAAATCACTCTGACTTTCTGCCTTTTAGTCAGAGAAAATAAATAATGTATTCAAACGGGACGAGATCCGGAGCCGCAAAATAGCAGCGTCTCCTCGCCGGAGGGCTGGGCTGGGAGGCTCGGGCAGGAGGGGCGGAGGGGCTCCAGGCCCCACGCTGCCAGCGGGGGCTGCAGGGAAAGTTGCCGGGTCCTGCGGGCTGAGCCGCCGGGGCTGTGAACCGGCGGCGGCGGCGGGGCAGCGGGCTCGGGCTCCGCCGCTCGACCTCGGGCCGCAGCCCCACGCCGCGCTCGCGGCGGCCCAGCCCGGCCCGACCCCGCGGCCTCGGCGGGCTCCCCGGCCTGCGCGGCTTTGGGCACGCCCGACGCCCCGAAACTTTCGCCCCGGGGCCGAGGGCGGGAGGCGAGGACGCGGGGGTCCCGGGCCGGCGCGCGGGGCCGTGCAGCCCACGGGCGAGACCCTCGAGCCGCCCGGCGAGGGAAGAAGGGGCGCTGCCCCGGCCCGGGGCCCGCCAGCTGGCACAAAACAAAAGTAAGAGAGTTCGGGGCGTCGGCGGGGGAGGAGGGCGGGGGGGCGCGGCGGCGCGGGAGCCCAGGCGGCGGGCAGGGGCGCCCCCGGGGCAGCCGGCGTGCGGGGCTGCCCGGCGGGGCTCGGCCGCCCCTCCCCGGAGCGGGGGAACGGCGGGCACCGCGCTCGGCGCCGCAGACGCCGAGTCCAGATTGCAGCGTGTCAATGGGGGGCTGCAGCCGCGGACGACACGTGCGGGGCGCTCCGCAGTCCGGCGCCCCGATATTAATTAACGCATTAATAAGAGGGCGCCATTAGCCATGTGCCCACTACAAATGGCCGAGCAGGAGGAATGCTCCCGCATGGAAACAAAGTTACTTTCTTAAAGC